CTTGAATTGCGGAATCTTCTACTAAAAATTTCACGCAAACGAGATAATACTTTTTTTATCAAAACTTTTACGGGACTGTACATGGTGCCCAGGGGCGCGTGAAAGCTGAATCGAACTTTACAAGGTCATACGTTTGTTGAGGATATCACCCCATAATATTAGATTCTCAACTTTCACGGTCCCCGTGATAATAATTTCCCCTGCCGAATCTTTCACGGGGCCACAAGTGATACTCGGACGCGCGGGTAGCTAGATTTAAAATTGCAGGATTGTATGTGGTCAGAAAACGTTACCATAAAATTTAGCATCTTGGCTTTTATGGTCCCCGAGACAATTTCCGTGCCAAAATTTTCACGGGGCCTTTCGTGATACTCGGAAGCGAGGGAAGGTTGCATTTGAATGGGTAAGGTCGAGTGTGGGCAGGGGTTATTATACTAAAATTTCAGTTTCTTATATTCAGTGGTTCCCGAGATAATAATTTACTCGCAAAAATTTTCACAGGGCCGTTCATGTTACTCGCAGGAAAAAGGGAGCTGAATTTAAATTTTGTGGGTCGCGTGTGGGCATGGGACACGCTCACAAAATTTCAGCCTCCCGTGATAATAACTTTCCCGTGATAATAACTTTACCACCCCGAGTTTTACTTATTATCCGCGGGTACGGGAAGGCTGAATTTAAATTTACGGGGTCACACGTGAGTGGGGAACGTTCCCCTAAATTTTCAGCTTCCTAGCTTTTGTGGTCTCCCGCAGCCTGCAACTGTGCACAACAGCTATACCTTTGTTTTTTTGTCTTCAAAATCTCACAGAAGCAAAGGTTGATTTCATCCCCTGGCATCCATTCCACCCTATTTTTGCCCACTTCATGGAACTTATACGCTCTCAGCATTACCTAAGCATCAGTTTTATAAACAGGAAAGTCTAATGACGGGTTTTTTATGGAACAACTTTATCTAAGCATCAGTTTCGTGAAAAGGGAAGTCCCCTACTGATGACGAGTTTTTATGAAACAGTTTCCATTTAGCAAAGCCTCAGTTTCTTTTACTTTTATTCATAGATTCAGATTTGCTTTAATTTTATTTTTGACGCTGTGTTGTCTTTTCCCTTTATTGCTGTCTCCAGTTCTTTCCTCGAGCTCCTGACTTGTATCCTCGTTTCCTTTCTCTACCCTGTCCCCAAATCTTGCCAGCAAATAACATCTAGGCCCCTCTTCATCTCTGCTATAAAAGCACTGTTCAAACAAGCAGTATTTCACCTTTCCCTATCCCAGGTATTTATGGTAAAAACAAAGAACACACTTCTTCATCCCTTCCGTTCATCACCGCTCC